GATATTTACCAAGAAACTTCATGCGCTTTGCAATGTAATGTAGCATTACTGCATCTCAGCTTTCTTCTTCTGCTTAAGCCAGTATTGCAGTTTATTGTCCCTAAAGACTTACTCAGGAAAACATGGACCAATTACCAGGGCTGAATACTTTTTACATGAGTTTTCTTAAATACTGTGGGCCAAATCTGTGTTTAAATCCCTTAATTTCCAATGAATATTCAAGTGGCCCAACAGTATTCATTTGAAAGAACAGCCAGATTATCTGTCCTCTTTGCTCCATTATTTACCTGGAATCTGGGATTATTTCACATCACAGCTGCTGGCTGTGAAGTGCTGTGGAAGCGCAAAGGCAGCATCCAGAACTACCCTTGACAGCATGCAACTACTGACCTCTCTGCCCAGAGAGCTCCCCTCAGCTCAAGTCACCTGTGGGCAATGAAAAACACAAGGCACAACTTGGTGGAAAAAACTAAACTGGAAATTAGCCCACAGAAAATCGAACAGCCACTGGGATAAGCATGAGGGCCAGACAACCTGGTGCCTCTCAGAAGCAAATACAAAGAGCACCATCAGAAACACACACTCAACACACATTTCTGCAGAAGAAACACCTTTTGTACCAACTCCTACCTCTGAGGAGCTCTGGGGTTTGAAGCTGGAGCTGAAGGCAATAACCAGATGTCTCCAACTCCTCTGAGTGACAGAAAGCAAAATGCTGCCTGTTGGTTAAGGAGATACTGTTGTGGGCAAACCTGGAGCATCTGTCATGGAGAAAACACGCTGCAGTCCTCGCAGCCTGGTAGCAAGCTGCAGAAGCAGATGCAGCACAGGGAAACTGATAAAAGGTCAGTCACAAATGATTTAATAACTTAGAAACTAGCTTCTGAGGAGGTGAGCAGTTTGAGTTTCTTGACTCAACAGGCTCGGAAGATGCTGAAGGCTGGGAAGGGTGCCTCCAAGCTTTCTTCTGGTGGGGAGAAGGTGGGCAGAAAGAAGAGTCTGAGCACTCAAGCATCTCTGTACCTTCTCCTTCATCCCACAGACACAGCTCTGTTGTGTTGCACAAGTCCAAACATAAATCTGTAATTTGCCTAAGAAAAAAAAAATTTTTAGAAGGGCCAACTATTAGGCACTAGATGCCATGCAAATAAACAGGAGGAAATGCATATGCATGAGAGGAAATAATGACATGCTGCAGCTACTGAAAACTAGTAGGAAGGGAAATATATCTGGAACATTAATGCTGTAACAGCTTGCTCTGAAAGAGTATCATGAAGGGGAGGGGGGGGGAGGAGGAAGGATGTGTTGTTTTACATTAGAGATGCTCATGGGATTATAGGTGACTCAGTCACAGACCCTGAACGTTTACAAATTATAAATGTAGTCCAACTAAAGATGGAGTTACTGAAACATCTCTTACAGGCCTTGAAATCCTGATACTAGAGTGGGCTGATAACCCTGCATCTGTTCTTCATGAGTGGAAAGAAAAACAGGCTAATCACAGATGCACACAGCCTGGAGGATGTTTGCTGAAAACCTAATCTGACTAAAGAAAAAAAATTCCCCAGTGTCCTGAAAAGATGATGATTTCTTAAAACAGAAAATTCTAAACCCCTACATGGAATATCTCAATGTTGAGTCTCATTTTAATGAATGAAGAGAGTTAATTAATCACCTAAAAGCTCCAAGCAATTTAAGTATCAATGATCATGATTTAGTCGCACTGACTTTGTTTTAAAATTGGTATATACATTATTGCCTGATGTTTATAGTCTGTTTGCACAACTGTTGGCATATGGGTCTAGAAAGACAAGAGTGAGAGGCATGAAACAAAACAGAGAATTGTTTAAAGAGACCTGCTGCACACCAAAATGCTTTTCTAAAACGGCAAGAGAGTTACACTTGTGAAAAAAAACATCCCAGCGAAGATAAAAGCGCAGAAACTTCAGAAAGACATGCAGGTTTATAAAGAATGGAAAGAGTAGAGAAGTCAGTGGTAAACAAATGAAGAAGCATAGGCAACCTCTAAAGAAGCAGAAGAGCCAATAAAACACTGAGGACTACTAATGGTGTTTAAGACAGTAAAAAGGCACTTCTGAAAGAACCCACGCAGATCAAGTCCGCTGTTTGGTGCAGACGGTAAGATCATAAATGATGACACAGGAAAATAAGGATATTTAAAAAACAGCATTACACAGACATATAGTTTGTTGGATTAGAAATGGTTCTTTGAAAGGTTCCAATACACAGCTGTTAACAGAAAGACATAAGCAGATAGGCTGCTAGTGGCCATTTCCAAATACCAGGCATGATGTCTTCTTCGAATGGAATTTCATTGGTTTGTCATTTGAGGGTGAGGCAACATGAAACTTCTGTGGGAAAAGCTTGCACATAAAAAAAAAAAAAGACCAATATAGTGCCAAATAATGAAAGGAGAAGGTTATTCTTACGGAGCATAAAGTCACAGTAACATCTTTTGCAATGCAACTAAATGTGAGGTAGTAACCCTAGCAAAGAACAGTTTGCAGACTTAAAGCGGCAGACATGCTTTGAAGACCGTGACTTAAGGACTTAGAGATGGAGCAAATTGCTAAATTCATTTATGTCTTCTGTGATCATCACAGATAGTTGCTTCAAAATAGGTACTCAAAAGAGAGATACAGGAAAAAATAATCCTAGCAAGGCTTCTGTCAAAAGCCCTGCTAGCCACACTTCAAGAAGGAAGTGAAAATACTAGAAGGAGCTCAAAGGAAGGCCAAAGAATTGACCCCTGAGCAGGGCAAAGCAAAACAAAGCAAATCTTACATGTGAGGCTGACAGAGTTCACTCAGCTCAGTGATAAGGTTGAGAGCTGTCATGATGACTATTTAGGGCCACATTTCAAACTCAGAGATAAGTTAAGAGCTGCCAGTAGGAATTTCAACCTTCGTTTCCCAGCAAAATTACCCAGCAATGTTAGTAAATTAACTATAGAACAGTTTACCAGGACAGATCGTGGACCCATTAAAGCCTGAAGTTTTCAGAATTACATTACACTTGTTTAAAGAAGTCATGCCCAAAACAGCTTTTAGGGAAAAAAAAAAAAAAAAAAATCTATGACTCAATCACGCAAAACGTCAGGTCAGAGGAGTATAATGATTCCTGACTGGTCTTTGAGTCTGTGAATTGGAGTACTTATCCATAAAAAATTAGAAGAATCAGATGTCTCCTTTGAGACACGTTGTGGCAAATGGCACTTGTAAGAGCCCCTCCAGTGTTCAAAACTATCCAGATACACACAAACTCTTCCATCCTGTCCAAGCCACTCACATTCAGCTCTAATTCAATAGCTGTTTACATTTGTTAAACAAACATACAGAAGACTAGCTGTCAACCTGGCGCTGAAGGAATGGTTTAAACATTTCAGCAGTCGCTCTAAAGAATCCCCTTGTTGATCCTTCCCAAAGCACAGCTCTGACTTTAGGCTAGACAAATGCCAATGATATTCACGTGGAAGTGGGAAATGAAATCCACTTGTTTTATGGGAAGCCTCCTTCTTATAATGTGATATCCTATGCTACTGTGTCCATCACTCCTAACCACGTGAGCTGGAATAAGGTATTCAGAAACAGCATCTCTATCCAAACATGTAAATGGAAAGGTAATTTTGGAATGAGAAAAGAAAAGAAAAAAAAAAAAAAAAAACATCAAAGCAGACATTGCCTAGGTGAGTGGGGGGAAAAAAAAAAAAAAATCACTTGTCATTCTCCAACAGTAATCAATTTTAAGTACATGCTTTTTCATTTCCAGCAGAATGAAAGATTCTGGTATTCTATCATCATTTTATTTACTTTAGCCTAGGAAGTGTCTGATCTGATTTAAAAACTGCAGATCAATTCTGTATTAAAATACCATCACTCTGCCTACTCCTTCAAAGTGCTATAAAATATGCCGAAGTGAACACTGGCATGTTCCCCAGGTACTGTGGCTCAAACAAAACCTGCAACATAGGAGTCTTTTTAGAAAAAGCAACTACCACCTTCCCACTCACTCTTCCCCAAGCACCAAGCAATCCGTATGACATACCTTTTCCTTTTCTGGTTTTAGTTAAGAATATAAACCAAAAATACGTCACAGACTGCATGCTAAAGGTCAAAGAAATTACTGGTGGTTTTGACGAAACAGAAGGTAAGATGTCCTATCCTGAAAAACAACATTTTATGTTTTTTTTAGGTTTGTCCTCACAAGTGAATGTAATACTTACGGGCTGTCACTTAAATTAAGCCCAGAGACTAGAGTCACGTCCACTAGCATACAAACTTCTCTTCTTCCTCACTGATGCAGGGCAAAACAGCTGCGCTGGAGCCCATGTTTTTAATCAACATTTTACTCCTGTATTTTTCTCCAGACAGAAAATATTCATAACCACCCCATTTCACCTGCTGTGGGTTTTTTAAGTACTGTGAAACATGCTATTTATATGTATTAAAGAGTCAGATTACTCTCACCTAGAATCTATTCAATAAATTCCACCAAAAGCCAAAGCACCATTTAACAAAACCAAACAAGTCAATAAAAAGGAGGGAAAAAAAAAGTACTCAAAGCAAGAAAAATCTTAAATCCAAATCATTTGAGTGGTTTTACTTAGGTATTGTAGCAAAGCACTTCAACCAAATCCACATAACTTCTGTTCACAGTCTTTTTCATCTGAAGAACTTGAAACAAAGTTCTCACCACCTCTAAAGCTTACTTCCACAAATTATATTGCTGTACACAAGCTAAGGACATAACCCTCAATTTTAGCAAGTCTCCTGGTATGCTTCAAAAATACATGCAACATGAGACTTTAGAGGAATACCAATGTTTGTTACCAGAAAGGAAAAAACAAAACCAAACCAAAAACAAAAAAACCCAAACCCTGCCACTGTTTATTTCCAAAACACAGTTTCCTGCAACCCAAGTTTACACCAAGTCCACGAACACAGCACATAATTTTTTTTCTAAAGCACAAATATACTTACGAAAGGACATTCCCAATGTAGGCATAATATGAACAGCAGTAGGGTGTAGTCCCATCACAACAGTAAGCTTTGCAGTCATTATCGCACTGAGCCAGACAATCTTCTGCTGAATCAAAATAACATTCATGCGGTCAAACAGCAGCAACGACAAAATGCTGTACAGCACAGCTTTAAAGAAAATGCAATCTAACAGTTTTATACAATCACAGGACTTCACTCGAGGCATGACCTGACCCTGTAATCCTAATGGCAACCCATTCACAGCCATTCTGCATTTCTGTAGGAAGTTCAGAGTTAAGTGCTTTGTGTACGGGTATTTTGTAGCTGGCCGTTATCAGTTCCTTCTTGTATTTAATCATTAAAATTAAAAAAAAAAAAAAAAAAAAAAGAGCAGATTGAAACATCAAGATGCCACAGATCACCTTTTTCCGTTCCGGCAAGGCATCCTGAAGGAAACCCGAGGCCGGGCTGCCTGTCTCGCTGAGCTGCAGGAGAGAAGAAAGCTGTCTGGGAACTGGCTACCTGCCCCTGTCCCGGCCCAGCCCACCCCCGGGGTGCGAATTAGCGCTGCCTGGGGCTCCCTCATCCCCCGCCAGCTGGCAGCGGGTGCCCTCCCCGGGCTCCGGCACCGGGGCCACGGCCGGCGAGGCGCCGCGGTGCCCGGCCCGGGGGCCAGCGGGGCCCTCTGCCCAGCTGCCAAAAACGGCCCTGCCCAGCCAGGGCCACAAACGTGTCCAGCGGCAAGCCTCTGCCCGACAGAGGAACAACGCGAATTGTGAAACAACAGAGCTCTTCGCAATTAAGAAGCATGGAAGAACACATACCCTTTTATTGCTGTGAGAAGCTATTTGAAAGCTGTCAACCTCTTGTGCTGTTGCGACTCAGGGGTCTCAAAGCCCTCACTCAGGTCCCCCCAGGTAAACACCACCATACGGTCTCTGTGTACTGCCACTGCACTGTAAAAATGTCCTCGGGAATCTCACGCTTCCCAGATCTCATCCCCAGCTCTCCTTCCCCACTGCCAGGACCTCAGCTGCAGCCTGGATGAACCCAAACGGGCTCCCCACCTCGCCCTGGGTGACCTCTTTGGTCTCTCACACACACACACACTGTCATGGCAGAGACCTGAAAACAAAGACGACAAACTATGCTTCTTCATTCCTGATACACTGTGGCTCCCGTTCCCCAGCCAGCAGATTATGCTAAGGCTTGTCCCCGCTTCTGCCTTTCACCCACGATGGCCCAACTTTCGGTGTGCCAGGATCGGGGCAATCCTACCTCACCTCCCCTGCCGCCACACCACGCTCCCGCCCCACCTCTGCCTGCAAGTTCCCACCTCGCACCGAGGTTCCTTTGCACACCGACCCTGTAGTGAAGGGCTCGTGCTGCTGATCCATCCCAAAACCTTAACCTTCCTCGTTAGATTTTAGGAGGTCAGCTCTCTGAAACTGCCCGTCGCGCCGTCTCTGCTTGAACACAAGCACCGAGCGAGGGGTGAGGGCCGGAGGGGGCTGTGCAACGCAGCACACGCGTTGGCTCATGCGGCTGGGCCCTAAACCTGTGCAATTAGCCCTGCATTAAAGAAACGCGCATGCAGAAGAAAGCAGAACGACTGACCCATCAGTCTGAAGACCAGCCCCATCAGCAAGTGAACCGGGGCAGCCGGAGGGATGGCGATCTCCAGATGGAGAGGAGAGGCCAGGACTGGCACGGGCCCTGCTGCGAAAGCACAACAATGGGGACCAGGGGTGTGACTGCCAGGCCCACGCGGAGGGTTCCCCACGCCAAGGCTTTTGCCCTGTTACCCTTGCACGGCTCCCCACACCAGCAGCTTCAGGGTTTTGCACCATTACCCGTTTCTGGCATGAGCGCTCGTGTCCCTGGCTCGGCCCCCAACGCACCCGGCAAGCAGAGTCAGCTACAGCGCCGGGGGCTCCCGCTCCCTCACTCACCAAACCCGCAGGTACCGCGGGGTGCCCTGGCCCCGGGCAGGGCCGGGGCTCCTCAGGGCGTCCCTCCCGAGGGGCGCGGGTGGAACCTCCTGCAGCCCGCGGGGGACCCGCACGCAGCGCAGCCTGCCCGACAGCGGTCCGCCGGGACACCCCAGCCAGCCTCCTCCGCCTCCGGCTGCCAAGTTCAGTCACCGGCAACACGGAAAAAGCCCCTCCGCCCGCGTTAAACCGCCGGGCCCTGCCACCCGCGGCGGCTGCCGGCGGGGGGCAGCGCGGGGGCCGCCGCCGGGCCCCGGCCCTCGCCGCCCTCCCAGCCCCGCTCGCCCCCGCTGCTGGCGGCTTCGCGCCTCCCCCCCTGCCCCACCACGCACCCGCCCGGCGCCGCTGACCTGCCAGGAGGAGGAGGAGGAGGAGGAGGACAGGGGGGAGCAGCACCCGCCCGGCGGGGCGCCCCTCGGCCCGGCCGCGCCGCCCCGCTGCCTCCATGCCGGCGGCGGGCGCGGAGCCGCCGACCGCCCCGTCGCGGCGCGGCGCGGAGGCGGGCCGGGGGCGGCGGCGGCGGCGGCGGGCCGGGGTGGGGAGGGAGGGGGGGAGAGAGGGCGGCGGTAGCGGGCGGCGCCGTCGGGGCCGGGCCGGGCCCGCTGCCCCCCCGCCGCGCCGGGGCCGCCCCCGGGCTGGCCCGGCGGCACCGTGGGTGGCGGCGGCGGGGCCGCTCCGTCGCGGCGCGGCCCCTCACGCTTCCCCGCTTCCCGCCGCCTTTGTCCGCCTCGGCCGGTCCGCGGGGGGAGCCCCGAAGGGGTGGGAAAGGCTGCCACCGTCCTCTTCCTCCTCCTCACTCTGCCTTGGTCGGACGCTGTATTCGAGGGGGGGGGGGGCGGGGGGGAGGTTCTGCTGGGATTAAAATCGTTATTGCTTGTACAGCGGGATTAAAACCCGTGATTTGTTTGTAAACACGAGGAGAATCGGTGCGCGGGACGGGGTGCGCTCTGGCACCAGTTTGGCCGCCGGCCGTAGCGGTGGGTGCAGTGACGGCCGGTCCCGGCTCCCCTGCTCGGCCGGCCGCTGCCGCGGGGGCCGCGGCGTGACCGTGCTGCCGGCTGAAAACCCCAAATGTGCCTGTCCATGCTGTTCTGTATTAAAGATTTTCCATGACCAGGCCAGAACCGGCGTCTGTCTTAAGTATTTTTCAAGAGTCGTTTTTGATAACTGTTTAAATGCTGCCATAATTAACTCCGTGCAAGAATTCCCACAGACTGGGCCCAGAGGCCAAAATACTCACCCTGTGGTCTCACAAAACAAAAGCGTTAGCTCTGACTGCATGAAGAGCTGCAAGTCAAGGAATGCCCTTTGAAAGGTTGAAGTATGCACACAAAAATGAGAAACATCCACAGGTGTTTCTGCTCGTAAAGGGCTTCCTGCTGCTGGCAGCTTAGAGGGGAAGGCCGACACAGAAACATACAATGAAATGTTTTTAAATGACTTAGCCATTCTACACTAACGACAACAAAACCCCAAACCACCCAGCCAAATCACTTGAAAGCTGGTTGTTTATCAATGCACAGCTGAGTGTTTGTTTTTTTTGTTGTTGTTTTGGTTGTTTTTTTTTTTTTTTTTTTTAATGCACGTCAGGACCTGACCATCGACAAAGAAAAACAACTTTTCATGTTTTTAACTACCCTGCAGTGCATGTCCCTTAGTTTATGCAGCAGCCTGAATTAAATGTATAAAAGGAAATTTCAGTTATATGTCAGCTGCTGAGAATAAAACTCGGACCAGGTGGGTAACTTACTTTCAAAGGAATTGCATCTGCTCCCTGTGTCTTCATCTGGTCACAGGCCACAGTTCGTCCCTGAACAAAAGCTTGAAAAAGTAATACACTTTTTCCAATAGATAGCATTGGTAGTAAAGGAAAAGAATTTATCAGATAAAGGAGGCTCATATCTGGTAGATAACTCCCAGAAACTCTGATATCTCCAGTTTTAATTTTAATTAATCATCTTTAATCACCATGCCAGCCTGTGTTAGAAAAGCCTTTTGTTGGCATTTATTTTCTGTTCTTTTATTTTTGTTCTTAATTCCTTCCCTTGCAGTCCCCTCTCCTTCATAGCGCTCTCAGCAAGTCACATTTCAGTATTTCATCAAAATGTTGGGTAAAATTGCCCAGTTAGTTGTAAGCCAGGGCAGCACGCTTGACTTCAGTACTGATTTGCACATAACAACCTTATGGACCTTCTGTAGCTGTTACTTTTTTCTGTCAGCAGGGGAGAAGTCCTTTGAACCTCTCTAACAATCCCCAGCTCTAATTATTACTTCCCAAGCACTGTCCTTTGGACAAACAATTGAAAGGTCCATCTGACAAAGGGAAATATACCTTCAAATGAATGTTGAAAATAACCCATGAGAAACTTTCCATCCAAAGTTTTACCTGTTCCTGGGGATTTTTCTTCCCCTTGGAAGACAGGAAGTGTCGTGGAGGTTTGCAAAATCAATTTAGGCAGGTAACAAAGGAAGATTATTTTAAGCAAAATTATTTAACAGATGATAAACTGGAAATTAAGTCCGTTCCAATCAAAATTGACCAACACTCCGACGGACATTAGTAAACCACAGGTTCAGGGTGCCAAGCAAAGTTAAATTACTACACAGCCGAGAGGATCCTAAGCTTGGAATGATGACTCAAAGCATGTAATCACTTACCTATAAGATGAGGGCTCTCCACCTCGAGGAGTTTCCTTAGTGGGCATCCCAAGCCAAGGGCAGAGCCCCTGACTGCAGACCCGCTGCTCCCAGGAGGACAGGCTCAAAATGGCCCTCCGGCGGGGCCCCATTTATACCCTAGTTGAAGCTGATCTGTGGTCATATATGGTTAACAGTCTAGAAGCTTCTTTTGACCAGAGTATTTCACCAGTGGCAGGCCCAGCTCCTGACCGCCGTCATGATGTGACTTTGCCCTGCTGACTGGGCGGCCTGTCCCCCGCATCCCAGCGGCTAGTTTTCCAACAGTCAGGGAGTTTCTAGTGTTGTTGGGGAGCAGGAAGGGGAGGGGGCGTGTGTGCACCTACCAGAGGAGAGGGTGTAGGGAAAAATCACAAAATTAATCCTCTGGCATTGTGTTATCAGCTTTTAACCCACCCCCCCACGAGTAAGCAGGGGTAAGAGAGCCCGGGGCTGTATGGTGCGGCTCCTGTTATGGGTTGTCACGGGCAGGCCCCTGCCCGGGTCAGAAGGGCACCCAGAAGAGGGAGCATAGCCCTGGGCCTGCTCATCATTCCATCTGCCTGCTCTGAAAACGAAGCAATCTTCTGGAAGAAGGCGTGCTCTGAAAACAAAGCAATCTTCTGGAAGAAGGCGTGCTCAACTTGTCTCCTACTCTGCCGTCTTCCCACTGCTCCCAGCATCACGGGAGGACATTTGTAGAAGGCTGAGAAGAGGGAGAATGATGTCAGGGTGGTATCGTCTGGTTGTGCTGGGGTGAGGTCTGGGCCTTCTGGGACCAAAAAGTATTTTGTGTTCTCAGAAAGAGATCTTAAAGGAAGACTTGTTCATAGCAAAGAGCAACAAAAAATTAGAGCTAAGGTCCCAGACACGATGATACTCCTTATAAAACTCCTTATCAGCACCACATGATGGCAAGATCATCTCTTATCGGAAATGTTTTTTGAAAGATGGTTTTGAAAAGTGTGCAGGATTGATAATATTATGTTAAGTGTACAAGCCCTGAAGTGCTAATCTTCAGGCACAGTTCAAGGAGAAAATTCTGCTCCCAGTGCACTAGTGTTTTGAAATTCACTATAATCAGGCATCTCTGTCTCCAGAAGCTTAATTAGCAGTTTAGAAACAGTAATTATCACATGTAGAGCACTAGAGAAAACTTAATAGAGGAAAAGACACATGCTTAGGACAAGCATTTAAACTTTACCTCTAGACTACCTCTAGAGAAATCACTTCAAAACAATTAACAGGATATCTTATATACATACTAATGATGTCTGTTGTTGAACGCAAGGTGCTAACTGGCTCAACATGACGAATTACAAGTCTTCTACATATTTTCCAGAATGTAAGAAGCCGACTAACTTCAGAGAACCTCCAGAAGAGCCTGGACACACTTTGCAGCATCAGGGCAACTGTTGAGCCAGGCAAATCCCTGGTTCTGGAAAGAGGGGTGGCCGGGAGGATGTCTCTTCAGCTCTGCCCTGTGTTGTCCTGTAATGGCGCGAAGGGGTAGTCTCATCGTCTGTGCCTTATCCACCTCTGAGCACCACCTTCTCCTCCTGGCTCTGCAAGATTTGGATGTGTGGTTTTCAGCCAGGAGTGATGCCTCTATATGCTCTAGTACCTGGGAGAAGTGTAAATATCACCCTTATTTTCCTGTAGGTTCCTTGTGTCAATGTCCAGTGACAGGAAGTACAACAGATACACTGTACTTCAGATGGCAAATATAATTTCATTGTACGTTTCATTTAATATCTTCTCTCTTCCTACACCATAAAAGATCAACCAGGATTAGCTGACAGGTGGCATACCCCAACCTCTCCTGAGGTTAATGAAAGGCTTCCCAATGATTCCACTTTTAACAGGACCAGGCTTTTAATTTCTGTTTCCTTTCTGTCTCTCTTTACTTATCTCTCCACTAGTCAAAAAGACTTACTATTTTCTCTTCCTTTAAATGGAGTTCTTTTTGCACTTCTAATCCATTTCATTGCCACTTTGGGATGCTCTTTCTGCTAAATCGTTTTTTGAGGATGGCCTGAATACTAAATGCAATATTTAAAATGGATTTTCAATATCAAAATCTGTCCTCCTTTGACAGAGTGCCATGTCTTTTCCTGACTGCTCCATTAGCATGCATTAGGCCTATTGTAGTATTGGCATATAGTTACAGGTACACTATTAATGACTATAACACAGAAAAATACATGCTTGCTTTCTTTTTCAAAAATGTAGTCTATGATTACATTGCTACTTATCTCCACACAAGCCACTTTATTATCTCCTTCAGGGTTTCTGATTTCTGCCACTATCTTTGATGCTGGAGAATTTATCACAGAGCTCCTAGAAGGCTACGAAACATTCTTGTTCCTCTCTGTGCAGACTGCCAGTCTCTGACACATGAGGAATGTACTCAACACTCCTTCCTGTTGCCGTATAAAGCTCGCAAAAAGCATAATGCAGGAATGCCATTATTCTCAGGCAGCAAACAACATCTTCTATGGCCCCTTCAGTTATATCTACCACGTTAAGGTAGATGTAATCTCTGCAGTATAGTGGTTATGTTCTATAGAATAGAATAATTCTACAGGTAGGAATACATTATTTTTGCAAACTTGTGTAAAAGCTAGTGAAAGCTTTACCTACATTTTGCCTACAGAAAAACTCAAGGCAGCAGAGAAGAAGATAGGGAGATGTTTTTTAATTATTTTCAAGTCAGAAATTTCCCTGTTCATACCGTCTTCAGGCATTTGCCTACAGGAAGGGAAATAGTGGAACACCTTTCATATTATT